AGTTTTCATTTCAGTTATTGTATTGTTCATCTCTGTTTGTTTGTTCTTTAATTCTTCTAGGTCTTTGTTAAACATTTCTTGCATCTTCTCGATCTTTTCTTCCATTCTTTTTTCAAGGTCCTGGATCTCCTTCACTATCATTATTCTGAATTCTTTTTCTGGAAGGTTGCCTATCTCCACTTCACTTAGTTGTTTTTCTGGGGTTTTATCTTGTTCCTTCATCTGGTACATATCCCTCTGCCTTTTCATATTGTCTATCTTTCTGTGAATGTGGTTTTTGTTCCACAGACTGCAGGATTGCAGTTCTTCTTGCTTCTGCTGTCTGCCCTCTGGTGGATGAGGCTATCTAAGAGGCTTGAGCAACTTTCCTGATGGGAGGGCCTGGTGGTGGGTAGAGCTGGGTGTTGCTCTGGTGGGCAGAGCTCAGTAACACTTTAATCTGCTTGTCTGCTGATGGGTGGGGCTTGGTTCCCTCCCTGTTGGTTGTTTGGTCTGAGGTGACCCAACACTGGAGCCTACCCTGCTCTTTGGTGGGGCTAATGGCGGATTCTGGGAAGGCTCACGCCAAGGAGTACTTTCCAGAACTTCTGCTGCCAGTGTCCTTGTCCCCATGGTGAGCCACAGCCACCCCCCCCCCTCTGCCTGAGACCCTCCAGCACTAGCAGGTAGGTCTGGTTCAGTCTCCCCTGGGGTCACTGTGCCTTCCCCTGGGTCCCGATCCACACACTACTTTGTGTGTGCCCTCCAAGAGTGGAGGCTCTGTTTCCCCCAGTCCTGTCGAAGTCCTGCAATCAAATCCCACTAGCCATCAAAGCCTGATTCTCTAGGAATTCCTCCTCCTACTGCTGGACCCCCAGGTTGGGAAGCCTGACGTGGGGCTCAGAACCTTCACTCCGGTGAGTGGACTTCTGTGGTATAAGTGTTCTCCAGTTTGTGAGTCACCCACCCAGGAGTTATGGGATTTGATTTTACTGTGATTGCGCCCCTCCTACTGTCTCACTGTGGCTTCTCCTTTGTCTTTGGATGTGAGGTATCTTTTTTGATGAGTTCCAGTGTCTTCCTGTCGATGATTGTCCAGCAGTTAGTTGTGATTCTGGTGTTCTTACAAGAGGGAGTGAGAGCACATCCTTGTACTCCACCATCTTGGTTCTATACCTCCGTGAAGTATGTTATATTGATGAAAAGGTTTTTTTCCTCCAAAGAGTGTGAATCTAGTGTTTACTCTGGACTGAGAGCTGACCAATTTGTCCAGCCCAGGCATGCTTTTCCAGCTAGTTGGCTAAATGGTGATTCTAAAGGGAATACTGGGATACTGACCGACATTTTCTGTAAGATTGTTAAAGCCAGAGAGCAGAATGAATTCAGGCTGCTTATGTAAGAGAAGAATCCTAGCTCTGAGAGGTGTGATTGCTTATTCCAAATGAGGGTACATATGGTATGTTGAGCGCCCCTCCGAGGCAGGTGTCAGCACTGGCCTTGCACCGTCCCCTCAGTGCCTGGTGAATGCTGTGCCTCAGCTCTGTGGCCTTTTAATGGGTGTCACACACACGACCAGGAGCAAGCGGTTTGAGCAGTCTGGGTTTTGGTGGCGGCAGGGATGGTGCACCCTCACACTGAACTAACCTTTGCTCAGACACATGGACCTGACTGCTTAGCACAGGCTTGGAGCTGCTCAGATGACAGCTTGGGCCTGAGACCACAGTGCTTTAATAACGTTGTTAGATTGTACGAGATGCAGAGTTCCAAAGCTGGGACCGTGGCCTGTACCCTGTGAGTACTTAGTATATGAATTGATGAATTATGAAAAATATTAAAATTGCTCTATAGTAATATTAAAGCTTAGAGGAGGACCCCTCCTACACTCTTGGTGGGAATGTAAATTGGTGCAGCCACTATGGAGAACAGTATGGAGGTTCCTCAAAAACCTAAAAATAGAGCTACCATATGACCCAGCAATCCCACTACTGGGCACATACCCTGAGAAAACCATAATTCAAAAAGAGTCATGTACCACAGTGTTCATTGCAGCTCTATTTACAATAGCCAGGACATGGAAGCAACCTAAGTGTCCATCGACAGATGAATGGATACAGAAGATGTGGCACATATATACAATGGAATATTACTCAGCCATAAAAAGAAATGAAATTGAGCTATTTGTAAGGAGGTGGATGGACCTAGGGTCTGTCATACAGAGTGAAGTAAGTCAGAAAGAGAAAGACAAATACCGTATGCTAACACATATATATGGAATTTAAGAAAAAAATATCATGAAGAACCTAGGGGTAAGACAGGAATAAAGACACAGACCTACTAGAGAATGGACTTGAGGATATGGGGAGGGGGAAGGGTAAGCTGTGACAAAGCGAGAGAGAGGCATGAACATATATACACTACCAAACGTAAGGTAGATAGCTAGTGGGAAGCAGGGAGATCAGCTTGGTGCTCTGTGACCGCCTGGAGGGGTGGGATAGGGAGGGTGGGAGGGAGGGAGACGCAAGAGGGAAGCGATATGGGAGCATATGTATATGTATAACTGATTCACTTTGTTATAAAGCAGAAACTAACACACCATTGTAAAGCAATTATACTCCAATAAAGATGTAAAAAAAAAACAAAAAAAAACCATGCTGGGACTTCCCTGGCAGTCCAGTGGTTAAGACTCCACGCTTCCACTGCAGGGGGCACAGGTTCAATTCATGGTCAGGGAACTAAGATCCTGGATGCCGCACAGTGCAGCCAAAAAAAAAAAAAAAGAACATACATGCACCCCTATGTTCATAGCACCACTATTTACAATAGCCAAGACATGGAAACAGCCTAAATGTCCACCGACAGAGGGATGGATAAAGAAGATGTGGTACATATATACAATGGAATACTACTCAGCCATAAAAAGGAATGAAATAATGCCATTTGCAGCAATATAGATGGACCTAGAGATTATTATACTAAGTGAAGTAAGTCAGAAAGAGAAAGACAAATAGCATATGATATCACTTATGTGTTGAATCTCAAATACGACACAAATGAACCTATCCAGGAAACAGAAACAGACTCACAGACATAGGGGACAGACTTGTGGTTGCCAAGGAAGAAGGGGGTGGGGAAGGGATAGACTGGGAGTTTGTGATTAGTAGACACAAACTATCACATAGAGAGTGGATAAACAACAATGTCCTGCTGTATAGCACAGGAAACTGTATTTAATATCCTCTGATAAACCGTAATGGAAAAGAAATTAACACAACATTGTAAATCAACTATATACTTCAATTAAAAGAAAAAAAGAAACCTTGGAGGAAAGTTTATAACATGTCATTTGCTAGTACTTTTCTGCTGACCCATGGATCCCTATGGTTCCAATACAGAAGGTTCTTCGGGAGCTGCACTACTGTCTCCCTCCCGTCCCTGCCCCTACCCCCTCTCCCTTGACGGCAGCAGTGGTTCCTGTTTTTTGTGTATCCTTCCAGAAAAAGTGCACATCCTGTACTGCTGACTTTAACACTTTGTTTCTTTTGCCACAGGACCTTATGGATTTTCTCAACCCAAACGGTAGTGACTGCACTCTAGTCCTGTTTTACACCCCTTGGTGCCGATTTTCTGCCAGTTTGGCCCCTCATTTTAACTCTCTGCCCCGGGCGTTTCCAGCTCTTCACTTTTTGGCACTGGATGCATCTCAGCACAGCAGGTATCTTCCCTTGGTGGGGTTTCTGCCTCATCTTGTTGGATGATGGTTGCAGTTACTTGGAGGTCGTAATCAGTTAAGTTAGGAGCAGAGGAGGTAGGTTTGAGCTTGAGCTTTGAAATGGAACTGAGGGAGGGAGAAACAAGTGTGACTAGTGAGGACTGTCACATTCCCGAGGGAGACTTTCTGGAGGCCGCTTGAGAAGGAAAGACTGTTCTCTGCGTGGTGGAATTCATTGATGGCTCTGCCTGATGGCAGGGGTGGGGGCAGAGGACGTTTTAGGGTCCGGCCCAGACTGAATTAGCAAAATTAGCATCCTAAGTAGGGCGTTCCTTTGTGGCTTTCATCTGCAGCTGAGGTTCCCAGCCTGGCAGCCTAAGTCTCGGCACCCGTTTTATGTCTACTAAGGATTTCTTTCTTTCCTTTTTAGTTTTTTCTTTCCTTCTTTCCCTACTTCCTTTTCTTTCTTCACGCTCACATTTATTCTTGCATGCTTGTTCTTAGTAGACATTCGATAAATTTGACGAATTATTTTAGACCTTCGAAATACATTTACCCTTGCTAAATTTATGTTCCTTCATATTGTTCAGTGGGGTTTTGTCTCTTCTGAATGTTCAGTAAGGTAAGTTACAAAGAACTTTGTGCAGATGTTGTATACTTCCCCTGTGACCGTGCCTGGGGTTATAAACTGTGTACTCCCCTCCTCCTCTAAGTCAGATGCTGCTTGTTAGCAGGTCACAAGGAGGTTGTGTGTGAATAAATTTGGAAAGTCTGGAAGATAGTCAAGTTGGTGGTGAAAATGAGGCACTGATTTTCAGGGTGGGTAATGGGACTGCCAGTGTTTACCTGAAATTGTTTATGAATAAAGAAATTGCCCAACAAATTCCCACAAAGCCTTCAGGGAGAGATCTCAGTGGCCAGGCTCAAGGTTACAGACTGATTGGAAGGACATCCAGGGTCATTGTCCAGCTCTGACTGGGCTCTCCACTGCCCCCAAGCCAGCAGGGCTGGCTCCAAGCACCTGCTTCGTGCTGTTTGGTCATGGGTCTGATACTAACCCCCATGCTGCCCCCCAATCCCTGCAGGCTTTTATCATCTCCTCTGTTCCTTCTTCATCACCATGCATCCTTCTCAGTGCCTGGTATGGTGCTTCAATTATGGAGAATAGAGGATACTCGCTCTTACTGTATGGCGTGGGACATGTGTTTGCCTCATATGTTAATATTTATGTTACAGCATGTTTACAGAAGAAAAAATCCTGATCATACGATATTACCATTTTACTTCTGGGGGTAACTGAGGCTTAAAAAGGTTAAATAATCTGCCCAAAGCTCACACAGCTGGTTCAGTGGCAGAACTGAGGCTTGAACCCTGAGCATTTTGACTCTGGAGCTTATACCACTACTCTGTATTCTGTAAAAGTGAAACAGTACTGCTCAGGTCCTATTACTTCTGAATTGTCCTGCCTTAATTGTGAACTTCCTGGTGTGTTTGTTAGGTTGTAGATTCCTTTGCACCGACTCACTAACCTAAACGCTTAAGTTGAACCTTTTATGAGGGTTGGAGATGGGCATTCTGCAGAGTCTGAAATTTCTTCTGTTAGGTAAATTGACATAGTGTGCTTCATTCATAAATTAGAATTTTCTGGTCTGATCTGTTTTGGCTGTTAAAAACAGAACTAGTGGAATAATTGTGTCATGGGCAGCTCCATGTTGTAACAGAAAGCAACTCAGAGAACAGAACACGAAGGCCCCCAACCATGACCCACGAGGAAGGCTGTCAGGAGCAACTACAAGCCTGTTGTTTCAGTATCAGGAGCCTCCATAGGTCACAGGAAACTGAGCCTTCCTCATTTATTTCCATCCATTCTGATATGATAATTGCGTGAGGAAGCCCACTGTTAATTCAGGTTTTCTGACTGACTTCTCTCTCTTGTAGCCTTTCTACGAGGTTTGGCACTGTAGCTGTTCCTAACATCTTGTTATTTCAAGGGGCTAAACCAATGGCTAGATTTAATCATACAGACCGAACATTGGAAACGCTGAAAATCTTCATTTTTAACCAGACAGGTATGTAGAACACTGTAGAAGAAGACATGTTATTGCTGGAGGAATGTGCCTTCTGTGGGTTCGGATCTGCTACAGTATTGTCCTTAAGTGAAGGATTCAAGATTGGCTTTAGGATATAAAACTTCTTTTCTAATGAAATGTTAAGATCCTGTTAAATGTCTCCTGGTCAGTGGCAAGCTTAACATGAATAGGTAATACTAATATGATTATAGATACCTTTAAAAAATATAACAGCTTTATTGAGATAAAATTCACATACTATATACCTCTAGATACTGTTTTACATACATTTTTCATTTAAGTATAATATTTACACAAAAATATGCATCAATCACTAGGGTACGTGGCACTGAATTTTCACAGAGTGAACACCCTGAGTAACCAGTACGCAGAAAGAGATCACCAGTCCCCTTTCAGCACTCACTCCTGTCCTCCCCAAGGATAACCACCATCTTCACTACTAACACCATAGTGTACTGTTCCTTGTTTTTTTGTTTTTTTTTTGCGATACGCGGGCCTCTTACTGTTGTGGTCTCTCCCGTTGCGGAGCACAGGCTCCAGATGCGCAGGCTCAGCGGCCATGGCTCACGGGCCCAGCCGCTCCGCGGCACATGGGATCTTCCCGGACCGGGCCACGAACCTGTGTCCCCTGCATCGGCAGGTGGACTCTCAACCACTGCGCCACCAGGGAAGCCCCAGTGTTCCTTGTTTTTGACTTTTATATTAATGGAGACATATAGTATGGATCCTTCCACGTCTGGCTGATTTCACTGACCATTATGTTTGTGGGATGTATCTGCATTGTTGTGTATGGTTGTGTTTTATTCATGTTTGTTGCTGTATAGAGTTCTATTTATTAATTCATTTGTAGATGCTATTTTAATTCCTTAATATTTGCCAAAACATAGGGCCTTATTTTTATCCTGTAAAAATTTGAGCACTGTACATTGATGAAACTTCCTTTGTTGGAAAATTCATTCCTCAAAAGCTTTAATGCCTCAGTTATGAGCACCCCTCTTCTTCCTGAAATATATTCACTGGAAGTAAATAAAAATTATAACATACCTTCCATATATTCTTAGCTGCATGTAATGACTTATATCTAACACAGAAGAACAAAGAACTGAGTTACCTCATAGGAGTGAAAGGCTTCTTACCAGGTAGTTATTCCAAGTCTTGTCCTGGACCCCTGGTTGTCGTTTAGATTGATACGGACAGGGGGAGCCATTTTGCTCAGTGCTCTCAGAAAACTTAGAACCAAATGAAATCTAGCAGTCATAGCATCTTTGGTAATCACTGATCCCAGTGGTGGTTAGTTGTTCTAACAATTCTTCTTTTTTCTTTTTTTAAATGAGCTCAGCTTAACTCTTTTTTTTTTTTTGGCCGTGCCACATGGCATGTAGGATCTTAGTTCCCTGACCAGGGAATGAACCCGCACCCTGCAGTGGAAGTGTGGAGTCTTAACCACTGGACTGCCAGGAAAGTCCCCTAACAATTCTTTCAGTAAATTATTTAAAAGCATTGTGAATTTAGCATTACTTACCCTGTGAAAACATTCTGTAGACTCCTGAGAATAGCTTTACTAGTTGTTGAACATTGGTCTTGAAAGAGAACAAAAGACAACTCATACAGTGCACTAAGAGCTTTCTGGTGAGTTCACTGAAATTCTAGTGTTTTAGCTTTGAACAGCTGAATGGATTCCTGCTCCTTTGATGTGGTGGGGAGAAGGGCAAGTTACAGATTACATTGACAGGCAAGTGAAACCCATCCCAGATATACTAGCTGTGGTGTTTATTTTAAGGCTGCATATCATTTTGCATACCATGCAGAATACTTAAGAAAATTCTGTAGCGGGTATGTTTTCTATCTCATTTGAAACGACTGATTTCTCTTTCAGGTATAGAAGCCAAGAAAAATGTGGTGGTAACTCAAGCTGACCAAATAGGTCCTCTTCCCAGCACTCTGATAAAAAATGTAGACTGGTTGCTTGTATTTTCCTTATTCTTTTTAATTAGTTTTATTATGTATGCTACCGTTCGAACTGAGAGTATTCGATGGCTAATTCCAGGACAAGAGCAGGAACATGCGGAGTAGTGATAGACTCAAAGGAGAGTTGGAAAGAAGAATTTCAATCCTTCATTTCAGAAATTAACGCTGCAATTTCATACATTTTCTCCAGCGAAGCGCTGACTTACAACTTCAGTCAGATTGAAAGAATCATGTGTTTGTTGAACTGTTGAATGTGTAAAAAATTATAAACTGGTGTTTCTAACTAGTATTGTAATAAGCAAATGCAAAAATATTCCATAACATTCAGTAAAAATTCTTGTTTTTACTACTTGAACATTACCCAGTACTTAAGGGAGTAATCCAGTTTGACATGTGAAGATGTATTTTGGTGGAATAGTGAGTAGAATGACAGTATGCTTACTATATAGAGGCAGAAATAGGACTTTCAGGTTATAGTTTTAGAAAACTCTTGATTTCTTGTATATGTCTGAGAAAGTTGGTTTTCTGTTCATTTGCCATTCCTCTCCCAGAGTCAGTAAGCAGGAAAGTGTTCTTTTATGGGAAGAATAATTAGGATCGATAAGTGTGCCCTTTCAGGTAGCAACCAATGGGAAAATAAAGTCAAATACCTTGGTGTTCAAGATCTCTGATTTCACTGAAAGCGTCTGAAGTGGTTTAAGAAGTTGTTTCTGGGTGAGGCAGATGTTAATCGGCACGTACTGGTTAAACCTTGACATGGTCTTGGAATTGTGCTAGGTTTAGTGAGAGTCGAAAGAAATATAAAGTACTGTGCTTGCCCACAAGTTGATTCTAGTCTAGTTTAGGATACGTGTAGAAAAGAGATAACATGTAATTTACATAAACTTTTTGAAAAGCTGTTTCTAAAAGATCCCTTAAATTCAGATATGACAGCTGACTACATAATGATAAACTACTTTTATACGGATCATTTCCAGAGCTTTAGATAGAATAGTTCATAAGGCGTCCTAAATTCTATGAAAATAGAACCTTAGATGAGTCTCCTTCTGAGTGTAACATTGGTTGAGCGTTTACAGTGTTATGTGTCATGCTGTGGACAGCTCTGGCTGGGGTAGTCACTGGCAGGAGGGGACCATAGCTCAGAACAGTACCATTATTACTTCCACTTTACAAATGAGCAAACGGGCATACTGAGGTTAAATAAGTTACCTAGGTTACATACACAGTACATTGATGAAGCTGGGATTTGAACCTTCACGTGTATGTTTATCTGTACGTATAAGAAGAGAAACCTCTAGTTATTCCATCTCTTATAATAATAACCAACATTTGAATATTACTGCGTGTGCCAGCTACTGTTTGAGGTGCCTGACGTACACCGTTTCATTTATCTGTACAATGGCCCTCTGAGATTGACACCACTCTAAAATGAGTAAATGAGGCCCTAAATAACTTGCTCTTGGTTATACAGCTTCCAGTGGTGGAACCCAGCTTCAAACCTAAGCATTCTGACTCCAGAGCCTCTATGTGGCTTGGTAGCCAGTCCTGCCTCTCTGCCATGGCTCAGGCAACCATCGTATGCCTATCACTCCGGTCTTTCTCTTATGTGTGTTTCCCATACTTGTAGTCACGATATAGCGTTTTTCTTCTTTTGCTTAACAAATGATAAATATTTCACTGTTGGTAATAGTTTTCCTAACCGTGGCTACATAATAGGCCTTTGAATAGATTCAGCATTACTTATCTAACCTGTGCTCTTTTGCTGGATTTATGGTTGTGTATATAGTCTTATTTCCTTGGGGGCAGATTCCAAGAGTGGGCGTTATCCTATCAAGGATACAGGAATTTTCATATTGTTTGATATGTAACGGGGTCCTATTCTAGTCTGGAGGGTGAGGAAAGGCTCCCAGGATGACCAACAGATCCATGGCTTTGCTTCTGACACTTAGCTCAGATAAGCTACAGAGCTTCCCCTGGAGGGAAATGTGGAGCAGGGCTGCTCCCTGGAGGGGAGGTGCAAGTGTGGAGGGTCAGCCGGAAGCACTGATGTTGAGGGACAGGGAAGCAGATGGGGGGAAGGAAGTGGTCCAAGACCAGCTAAACCACCCCAAGCCAAACATGTCTGTCGAGAACACCATGTACCAGGAACCAATGCCAGAAGGGGACTGCAACTACATGGAGGATAGCAAGGATCATCACAATGCCAGCCACCAGGGATATAAGTCCAAACACTTCTGTCCATGACTTCTTGGTATCAGAGTTGCCAAGGAAAAACAACATGGTCACGCACTGGATGGAAGTGTTTTTATCACTTAGAGACAGCAAGGTCAGTCACAGCACTGTGCAGAGTGGCTCATGGTGTCCCTCACCCCCAGCCTATGGCTAAAGAGCACCCCTCTAGTGCCATAGCATTGTGTGCCCCAAGGTCATTGACATCCATGCTTAAGCAGAACAAAGGAGCACACATTCAGCCTGAAACAGGGAAGGGTACCTTCACAGGCTGATAAGCCTGGCACAGTGTGTGTGGGCTCTTTTTTGGTAAGGAAGTGTCCCAGGTCCAAGGCCTATTCTTATGTGACAGACTGTGAGCAGGAGACTGCTTTTCTTAAGTGTTCATTACAGACGATGTGCCCAGTAAATCTTTGCTGAGGGACTTAAATCCTGCTAAGAGACCTACATGTGAGGGCCAGGCATTCACAGCCCCTCCTGGTGGACATCACTTCCCCTGGGCCCTAACTAGCACTAGCATCCTGCTGCTGCTTTCATGACTAGAGCTGACATGCCACAGTCTCTTACAGTGGTGTTAGGGAAGGAAAATGATGAAAGCAAACTACTGAAAATGATGAGGGGTCTCCAACTTGTTACCTCACAACTACCAGTTCATTTCTCAGTTCTCACTTTAATGAGCAAGTTTCTATAGCATTTTTCATGATCCTAAAAACCCAAAGTAAATATTGGAAATACAATTTTTAATTCCAACCCCTGCCTCTGTCCACCTAAGGCATCAGGCAAAGGAAACTAGAATGTCTTAGATAAATGCCTTGAGATCAGTGACATCTGATGAAGGTCTACAGCAAGATTGCTCTGCTGAGTTTTCATCAAGTGGGCAAAAGGGAAGAAGATGGGCTGGGTCATGAGTCTGAATTTTAGACTATTTTGGGTAAAAAGGCTTTATATTTTCCAAGTCCACATGAGAAATAAAGCCAAATGCTAGCAACTGCTAAGTTGAACTTAAAATGGACTCGTTTTAAAAAAAATATTCGCGTGTATTGCTATGTCCTCTGCAAAACTGCTTATATTATTAATTTGCTTAAACTATTTAGTAAAAAAAGTGCATATACTAAAAACCACTGAATTGTACACTTTAAAGGGTGAATTTTATGGTATGTGAATTACACCTCAAAAAGAAAAAAAGGCAAAAAAAGGAGGAATGATAAGAGAATAAAATACTAATACAAATATAAAAAAGAAGGAATACTCCTTTTATCGAAAACTAAATATATAAAAAAAATTTATCTAAATCTGTCCACATGTATCTCCGAGGTGCCTGTGTACCGTGCGTGTGCTACCTTCTAGAGAGCACTATGAGCTAGGTTTTCCAAATTATTTTATCTAGGCAAAGACAGATGAGCCAGTTTGCCCAGGGCATTGGCAGCTAAGTAATAACAGAGCAGAGCTCACTTTCCAACCGGCGGCTCCCTGCCTTATAAGGCCCTTATGCGGATCACTATGGTTCACTCAACCGCGAGCAGAGGGGAGTGGTCCCCAATCACCCCCCGCCCCTCTGCAGCTCATCTGTTCCTGCCCCTGCCCGCGACGTCCTCCCGCCTGCGCGGACTGTTCGCCCCATCGCCCAGAAGGGAGCCCAGTGCGGTCAGACGGTCGGCGACAACCCGAGGCCCGGACACCGAAGAGCTAAGCGGAGGTCCATCCTCATCGCCTCGCCAGCACGCCTACCGCTCTCGCACAGGCGGGAAACCCGGCACCGGGCCGCAGAGCCGGGGTTGACAGCATCTGGGCCTGCGGAGGCCTGCCGGGGGCCTGCGGCGCGTCCGCCTAGATGCCAGCAACGTCGCCGGCCATTGTAGCATCTGGGGGCCTTCCGGGGCAGGTCCGCGTCTGGGCCTGCGCGGCGCGGGGCCGGGTTGTGCGGCAAGTCCTGGGCCGTGGCTGGGAGTTGCCGGCTCGGCCCCTGACTTCGGGCAGGGGCGGTCAGGCAGCGCGCCGGGCAGCCCTCGGCCAGAGATTATGGCTGCGGCGCTGGGGGCGCGAGGGGCGACGCGGCGTTGGTTCGCGGCGCTGCGGGGCAGGAGCCAGAGCCTCGCGGCCATGGTGAGTGCCGAGGGCTCGCGGTGCGGGAGGAGGGCGAGGCCCCGCCGTGCCGGCCGAGGGGCGGAGGGACCGGCGCAGGCCCCGAAGTGGGCCGGGCCTTCGGGCTGGGACTTTGGGTAGGCACGTTTGGGCACCTGGCACCTGCCCGACGCGCTGGTCTGAGACAAGGGTGGCCGCAGCATCTGACAGTTTTCCCTTGGCCTAGAATTCCGTCGTAGCCTACGAAATTGCCAACCGGAAAACAAACCAGGACGACTTTCGTTAAAAAAAAGAAAGTGAATACGAAAAGTAGTTGTGAAAATAATTCACGGTTAGGGACTCTTTATGTGATTAAGGTGGCGTTGGGTCCTCTAGATTGTGCGCTCGGTGAGAGCAGGCACCGTCTCCGTCTCGGCTCTGAACGGGGCACTGAATGTTGAATTAACTCATTTGCCTTGGTGTTAATTTTTTTGAGGAATTACCAATAAATTATATTTTTGGTTGCACATTGATTCTTTCCTCTTCCGAGGGGCGTCCCGTCCGTTTCCCCGCTTTAGAAGTTAACATATTGGGGTGAAGTTAACTTGAGGGAAAGTTTTAACTTGCAGCACCACCTAGTGGGAAAATACTGCATTAAACTCACCATTTCATTTTCTTAGACTGCTTGCCAGAGCCCATTTGGCAGTTTGAAATTCTGTAATAGAAGAAATGTAAAATAACTCGATGACGGAGAAGATGAGCACTCTCTTTTGTGGCCATTAAGGTGAGAACGCAAGATGAGTGCTTACTGTCACCTAGGCGTGTCCCAAGGCATGCCTGTGTCTAGGGTGCTGGTGATCAAGTAAAATTGTGGGGTTTGGGGAGGGATGAATAAACAGCCGCGATTGGAGTGGCTGCCACATGCCAGACTCTCTGCTGGGTACCTTCACGCTTAAGATCTCTTTAAACCTTTAAAAAAATCTGGGCAGGTGGATACTGTAACATCCCCACTGTAGAACGCTGCTACTCAGTGAGAGGCTAAGTGATTTATTCAGCACCCACAGCTGAAAGTAACAAAGCTAGGCTTCGAATCAAGGTTGCTCTCCAAATCCTATGCTTTCCCCTGTCGCTCCCCACACCTCCCACAGGAAAAAAAAAGAAAGTCCACCACAAAGGGTTCTGCAGAGGGTATGTCCCCAAGGGGACCATTTGTGTTACGTAGGTGAAGTGACTCCATTTCACAGTCCTGAACACGGTCCCTATTCCTAGGCAGACATCTGTGGTGAGCACACATTGACCTCACTGGGGATGTGGATGGTGGAGAGGGTGGAGGAAAACAGCTCAGTGTGCTCCACAGACTCCGGGTGACTGCTGCATTGCCCACAACATGGTTAATAGTTTTCTTTGCAGCTACTCAGTGATTCCAAAATAGTTTGAGTTGAGTTAAAATATTTATTTAATAAAAATTTTAGCTTGTTTCCTGTAGCAGGTCTTTATGTGAAATTTTTCAGAGCTGTCATTGTAAAGCTAATTGATACATTGGTTCTTAAATGGTTTTTGATAACAAGCCTTTAAATGTTTTTATTTAAGAGGTATTCTCACTTTCTCTTTTGTTGTAGGGAAGGGTAGCTGGCCTAGCAAGGAAGAGAAACTAGAAAATTGACTCATTAGCATCCTTTTGTCCTCCTTGTAGAATAAGTTGTCTTTAAGGTTACTTTGCCTTCTTAATTACATTGATGTCAATGATAAAGGGTTGTAGGATTTCTGAAGTGGGAATGAGTTGAAGTTTCATGGCAGAGGATACAGCTCAGCCCCCAGTTGCCCTTTGATAAGGAGCCCTCACATTAGTTCAGTCTTTCTGGGTGCCAGTCCCTCCCTCATCTGAGACGATAGTAACCCTGCATATAGGGAAGACAGGAGGTACTGGTGGGCACTTATGCCAGAGCGAGAGCATAGCTCTTCTGACTTCTCCTACAGTGTCGTTATCTTCTGTCTGACATGCTGCTTAGAGTTCTTTCAGTTAAAAAACAAATAGCATGGAAAGTGTGGGCCTGTTAACCAATAGAATTCCGGATTTGGGAATGTCATCACCAGGATGAGTAGGAACAAGGTGGACAGTTGCGCACAAGTGCTTCCGACTGGGCAGCACTCTGGCCAGACAGTTGAGGGAGTTTGTCTTACCAGTGTTTCTGAGAAAACTCGTTCCGCTAAAGCAGGGGCTTTTTGCCTGTAGTCCAGAGGGTCTGTGGACACCCATAAGTTATTATACAAAATCCCCTGTAAATGTGCATTTGATTTTTCCTCTTTGAGGATTGGTTTTCATTACAATTGAAAGGGGATGGTGAACCCAGATAGTTGAGACTCATGTGAGTAAGGACTGAAGGCTACTAAGGTGCTGTGGGACCATCCAAAGAGCAGTAGACCAGGAGTTTAGAGCCCTGGGTTCCAATCCTGGTTCTGCCGATGGACTTGCAGGGTTTCCTTGGGTGGGTGTGTTTGCCGCAGTTTCCCAAGTCCTGGAGTGCTGGCCTTTGGTGATGATCTTTGGTAAGATGGACAAATGGTTGATCTCAGCTGTGTCTGTAATAAACCAGAGAAGCTGAATTGTAAAGTTTGAGGCATATGTAAGGGGTGATAAACCCACATACAATGGAGACAGCTGATTCTGTACAGAGCTAGCCTTGTTTTTGTCTGTTTTTTGAGAATTTTATATTTTGAGAATAAAGTAATCAAAGATGGTTAGAAGTTGTTGCCCTTAAGACTTTTTTCCACCTCTCTACATAAGGTAAAGAGCAGTAAATTTATTTGAATTTAACCAAACCTCTACACTTCAGGTATTAAATGTGTTCTTTTCATAGTCAGCAGATGCTCACTGGTTGACAGCAGAGGAGAGGAACCAAGTTATACTTGACCTTAAAGCAGCAGGATGGTCGGAATTAAGTGAGAGAGATGCCATCTACAAAGAGTTCTCGTTCAAAAATTTTAATCAGGTAATTATTACATATTCCTGCTTGTGCCATGGTCTATTTTTGTCACCTTAGGCTGTAACTCTTTCTAATACTACTGGTTGTCTGGTGCCCTGTGGGTCCAAGATCCAAATCCTTTCTTCCTTAAGAATTCAGTGATAGTTACTCCTTCCTTGTTGACAGCTGCTACCACCCAACTGGGTGAGTCTCAGCCCTAGGGGAAGAGGGTGATTTGTGTGATTTGGAAAATCAGATTCTGAAACCACTATTGCTCTGATTTGGTGTTGGTTAGGAGATTTAATTTCCTTTCAAATCTTGAATAACATTAACAGAGAGTGTGAGCTTTTTATACTGATCAGAAGGGGACATGAGTAAAAGCGGTTGAGAAACATACACCTGCTTGACTGATTTCCCCTACTTTTCTTGGATGGTTGTCAAGTTTTCTTTCTCCTTATAGTTGCATTTCTGTCTCTAAATCATCTCCCAAGCTGCACCCTCTTCTCAGATTGGCTCATTTTCTGCAAGCCCAATAGCCAGCCCTTGAAGCTTTTCTTTCTTTCTTTTTTCTTTTTAATAAATTTATTTATTTATTTATTTATTTATTTATTTATGGCTGTGTTGGGTCTTCGTTGCTGCGCACGGGCTTTCTCTAGTTGTGGTGAGCAGGGGCTACTCTTCGTTGCGATGCGCGGGCTTCTCATTGCATGGCTTCTCTTGTTGCGGAGCATGGGCTCTAGGCGCATGGGCTTCAGTAGTTGTGGCTCACAGGCTCTAGAGCGCAGGCTCAGTAGTTGTGGCGCACGGGCTTAGTTACTCAGTGGCCTGTGGGATCTTTCCAGACCAGGGCTCGAACCTATGTCCCCTGCATTGGCAGGCGGATTCTTAACCACTGCGCCACCAGGGAAGTCCTGAAGCTTTTCTTAAAAGCTGGTCCCTGCCTTGGAGATTCAGCCTTAACAGGGGAACTGTTCCATTAGGGCCCCACCCTGTTTAGAGAGTCATCTCCCATCAGTTCTTACTCCATTGCATTTATATAAGGTCAGTGCTTTAGACTATTCCATGTTTGTTCAGTTAGTTTGATAATCCTCTGGACAGATTTATTGTTTTTATTTATATTAGGTGTCAGCATCTAGAAGGCAGAGATCCTGTTGGCTTAAATAACTGTCTTTTGTACATAACACAGTTCTGGGTACAAACAAGCATTTGATAAATGCAGACATTGATTACAGTGTTTGCTTGTTTCTGGAAGGGTGTCTGAGGACCAGATTTCCACCAAAGAAACCTTGACATGTTTTCCTAGTAAATGCCGTTGGCTCCACTGTGCCGCATGCCCTATTCTGGTCTCCATCCATCTGGCTACCAGCCTTCTGCTGTGTCTCCAACTCCTGAGGAAACCTGGACCAAGCCGACTCCTTGTCCCTGCTGCCCCACATGCTCAGTGGCTCTTGTCAGGGGCTTAGCACTCTGTGGCTGGTGGCAGGGAATCCCATTGGTACAGTAAGCTTGTGCATAAGCTCTAGGTAGCATTTTCCAAGCTTATTAAAATTCTTACATTTGTACAGCCTGACTTCTTTAAGCCTGGGCTAATTTATTGGACTTAAACATGTGGCTTAAAGTACTTGAGTAGTGTTGCCTCAGACTCCGCCCATGAGTCAGTCATCCAGCCCCACTCTAACCTTGTGCTCAGGGTGCTTTCGGAAATGGTGGGGGGAAGGGAAGCTGCGCAGGGTGTCCTTCATTAATTGTAACGTTATTCACCAGGACATTTAATTTTCTTGGCTTCCCCCCCCACCCCACCCCCTTCACTCACCTTTTAGGAGAAAGAGGCAGACGACAAGAAGATCAGCTGATGTCAGGGAATGTATTCAGAGAACCGGCACTGGTATTATGTCCTGCGGTTGGTTTTCTAGCCAGGCTCCTATGACTTCTGCACGTAATGGCCTGTAGTGGCAACTGATGTCATGACAAGTGTCAGTGCCCACCAGCCAAAGACCACCAGGAACATACCAGTAGCTGAACAAGTTAGGCTTATTGCTTGTGGCGGTGAGGAAGAGTGCACGCCATAGGGAACCGTGGGGCATCTCAGGAAGACGGTGTTGGAAAGACTTACTACTGGATTTGGGCTGGTGTTTGTGATTTTGGAGTCTTTAAGGATCAGAGCTTTGCTCTGGGTTGGATGCTGTCTGCAAATGGGCTCTTCTACGATTCACTATTTTAATAAATCTTACCTAGAGGGAGAATGGACTAAAGTGGGGCCAAAGCTGAAACTGGTAAAGAAGCAGCAGTCACTCATTAGCCAAGAGAGGCGGGTGCTTGGTGTTTTGTGATTTGGACAATGTTCACGTTTTGTTTGTGTTGAGATATCATTGCAGAGTGATATCTGTGATACTCCACATTACATTATTGTCATGATTATAACAATCATTAGAAGAGTGGTTATATTTTTGTCCTAATCCTTCATGGTCACAGAGTGGCCTTGTCTGATGTTGCTGTTGCTGTTCAGCACCAAGGCCTAGGTTTGGGTTTGGCTCCTAGCAACTTGGAGGCCTAGGTGGCAGTCCAGGCCAGCTCCCAGGTGTCAGGGCTGCTTTTCCCTTTTTTGCAACTAATGTTTAGAGTGATGACCCTCTGGCATTGATGGATCCTCACTTATCTTTCATTTATTTTTCAATACAGAAAAGTTATTTTTTAAAATTATAAAGCAATGATATAAAACATTAAAATACGATGGGAAATAAAAATAAAAATTTTCCCATTGCAACTACTTCCATCTTTTTACCTATTCTCTTCTAGTCTTTCTCCATATGTATAGTTTATTCACAATGTGGCAATTGTACAAGCAGTTAAATTTTTTTAAAGTAGTTTAATTTTTATTGTAAAAGCAATATTCATTACCAGATATTTATTAAGCCCCTTCTCTGTGCCAGGCACTCTTCTAAGCTCATGTAGCTCCCTTTCTAGCAGAGAAGATAGACAATAAACAAATGAACAAATAATATAGTTTCACGTAGTGATGAAGTCATGAGGGAGAATAAAGTAGGATATTGGGATGGGGAGTGACGGAGGGGTGAGCACACTATTTAAGATGGAGGGGGCTGGAAAGGCCTCTCTGGGGAGGGGACATCTGAGGCCTGAGTAATGTGAGGGAGCTGAGCATGTGAAGACCGAAGGAAGAGCATTTCTGGTGGAGAGACAGCAAGTACCAAATTCCTGGAGCAGGAGTGATCTTGGTGTGATTGAGGAAGAGCCAGGGGGCCAGTTTCTGGAGCGGACAGAAAGGAGAAGAGGCTGAAGAGAGGGAGAGGCCAGAGCACTGGAGCCTTGTTGCTGTGCGGGGAGTTTGGATTTTATTCTGTGAAGGAAAGCCCTTGGAGGATTTCAGGCAGAGAAGTGCCATTATTCAGTTTATGTTCTAAAAAGATCACCCTGGCTGTTCTGCTGTGAACAGATGGTAGAAGGGCAAGAGTGGCAGCAGGCAGAATGTGTACGTTGCCATGTGATAGGCTAGGCAAGAGGTGGTGAGAGACTATGGGGGAAGCAGTGGTATGTGGAGAGAAACGCAGGATTTCTTATTTATTTTAAAGATAGAACAGTCCAGACTTGCTGTTAGATTGGATGTGGGGGAAGGAGAGGGTCAAGGATGATCCCAAGGTTTTGGTTCAAGCTGTAGGGTAAAGGGTGGTGCCACTGGTACCATTTACTTGGCTGGGCAAAATGGAGAGCAGGGTAGGGAATTAAGAATTCCATTTTGGACATGTCAGGTTTGAGATACTTACTGGTCACCCAAGTGGCAATATTGGATCAGCAGTTGGTGATATGAGGTCAGAGTTCAGGCTTGGGATAACAGTTTGAGAGCCGTCAGAGGGGATAATTGTCCTGGATCGGCAAAAGAGGGCAGGTGGAGGTGCAGGCATGGTACCTCCATTGTGATAGGAAAGAAGGCTGAGTGTATGTGTACAGATGCAGGTAGGTTGCCACGTTCGCCTTGGGAAGAAGAGGTAGTTTTCTCTTCTGATTGCTTCTATTTTTTTAGTGAAGCCATCAGTTGAGAATGAGTCGGCGTGGGAGAGAGGAGTGTTGGAGATCTGGAAAAATAGGAAAAGGCATGAAATAGTCCTCTTAGAGACTAAGACAGTGAAGGAACTGTGAAATGTGGTCAGTTGCTGGGCAGTTCTCAGTGTCACTGGAGATTTATGGGCAAACATTTAAGGTGAAGATCCTGTGTGTTTTGTCCAGCCATGTTCAGCTGCTTGGGCACAGGCTTGGAGTAGGTGCAGGGTTGGGCTTAACAAGGGCTGAACTTTTTCTTTTTTTAATTTATTTTATTGAAGTATAGTTGATTTACAATGTTGTGTTAATTTCTGCTGTATGGTGGTTCAGCTATATACATGCGTGCATGTGCACACACACACACACACATTCTTTTTCATATTCTTTTCTATTATGGTTTATCACAGGATATCCCTGTGCTGTACAGTAGGACCTTGTTGTTTATCCACTCTCTATGTAATAGTTTGCGTCTACTAAACACAAACTCCCAGTCTATCCCTCCCCCACCCCCTTCTTCCTTGGCAACCACAAGTCTGTCCTCTATGTCTGTGAGTCTTTTTCTGTTTCGTGGATAGGTTCATTTATGTTGTATTTTAGATTCCACATATAAGTGATAGCATATGCTATTTGTCTTTCTCTGTCTGACTTACTTCACTTAGTATAATAATCTCTAGGTCCATCCATGTTGTTGCAAATGGCATTATTTCATTCTTTCTTATGGCTGAGTAATTTTCCATTGTATATATGTACCACATCTTCTTTATCCATTCATCTGTCAGTGGACATTTAGGCTGTTTCCATGTCTTGGCCATGTATTGTAAATAGAGCTGCAGTGAACATTGGGGGAGGCATGTGTCTTTCTGAATTATAGTTTTGTCCTGATATATGCTCAGGAGTGGGATTGCTGGATCATATGGCAGCTCTATTTTTAGTTTTTTTGAGGAACCTCCAAACTGTTTTCCATAGTGGCTGCA